ACACACACACACACACACACACACACATGCACCCACGCATGCACGCACAAGTGCATACAAACATATTTTTCACACTGAAAGCACACAGGCAAACCTGCTGCCTTCTCAGGTCTATGTGTAGACATGACTTGAGGTTTGGACATGACCATTTGGGTGGGTAAGCTGCATGCTGCTCCTCTCTGCTTGAGTTTCCTGCCCTCCCTCATTTTCACCTGGCTGTCGACATAGCAGGCTCTCAGTCCACAATTATTGGTTTGGATTGCAGCCTAAGTTATACCCTCATTAATGGACGAGTGAGAGGTGGGGCCAATAGAAGCCCAGGTAGACCCCCTCTGTTCCTCATTTTCTGAAGTCTCTCTCAAAGAAGAGCAATAGATGAAGAGCAGGGGAGAAGGAACAAATAGAACACAGTGTCACAGCAAGAGCAGGATACTTGGACTCTGGCTGCTGGGACTCCTCAACTGTCTGGGGGGTTTGCAGACAGTTGACTATAACCTGTGGGATCTCAATGTAATGGCTTGAGGGGTTATTTCTAAACATTTCCTCATCCTGCAATAGACTTCATTTCTTTGTCCACTTGCTTTATAATTGTACCCTGATTTGACAAATTATTTAAAGTACCTACTAAGTGCCAGGTAGCAAGAAGATCTGGGAGGGGAGGAGAGGATGGGGCTGAAGAGAAAAAGCACTTGCTGGGTGGAGAGCAAGAATAGGAGACAGACATCCACATGGATGACTCATCTGGCAGGATTAACTCTTGGGGCCCCTCCCCATGCTGGTCAACACAGATTGTGCAGGCCTCAGGAGCCTGGGAAAACCAGGCAATGCCAGGGGAAGCTGGGAGTTCAAGGAGGCTTTTGCATGTGTGGGAGCTGAGTGCTGGGGCATATGTGAGCAGTTCATGGATCACCTCTCACCCACTCCCTGGAGACTAAGGAATGAGCGCTCGCGATGACTGTGTGTCTAGGCATTTGGTTTCAGTAAAGAGCGTGTGGCGGTATTTGTGCTACAGGCTGTGTGTGACACAGGATGTGAAGGTTCTCTGAGATTGGTTGCCTTGAAGCTCTATTGTTCCTTGGAGAGCACCAGTTCAAGGAGGCCCAGAGGTCTTCCAGGACCGTGCATCAGGCAGTCACAGCCTGGTCTATGGTGGAGTACAGGGTATCATCTCTCTTGGCTTTGCTCCATGCCTGACAATCACAGAGCCCACAAGCCAAACCAGCCCATGCAAAATGTCCAACAAAGGGGACAATTAAGGAAATCCCAAATCCTGTACTCTCCAGTGCAGCCTGAGCGTCCTTGCTGCCATCCATAAAGCCACAACTACTCCTAGGATACTTGGTGTAGGACTCCAATAACATCCATTCACCTCTCTTTCCATCAGGCTGCAGAGAGGAAATCCCATCTAGAAATGTGCACATAATCAAAAAGAATCGCCATATGATATAATTCAAATCCTAACATGCAGTGAAAATAACAACACAACTAAATTGATTGCTCATTCAGTGCTTGGCCCGTGTTAAGCTCTTTTTATGCATTATCTTATTTTGTTCTTCAAACCTAGAAGATACATCCAGTATTGTCCCCATTTTCACTAATGGGGAAACTGAGGCTTGAGGAAATTAAGTAGCAAAATAATTAAATCCAGAGTAGATCATTAAATCCGATAATTTCCCAATGTGGCATCTCTAATGGTTCTGTTTTACCAGAAGTGAAAATTAAGCAACAGAATGCACACCTGGGAGCACATTTCTCTTCCTGTGGTTGAGTTTTGTTGAGTTTTTTTGTGTGTGTGTTTTCGCATTTCTGTTGGGTGTGTTTTTAATATTGTTAGCCATCACAAGTGCTTGATGGAAGTAGGCACCTGATAAAGCACCATTTTATTATTTTTCTTTATTTATAAAGGTAAATGAAGGGGAGAAACATGTTGACACTTTCTCATCTCCAAGGTATATACTAACAACAAATTCACTCGCAACATTTCTCCGTTCTCATTTCATAGATCAATTACATGTATATTTTTGTATGAAAGTCACAATCTTAATATTGGGTGCTATCCATCATACCTTGAGTCTAACTTCTTGGAAAGAATATACAATTGTCAACTAACCTTCTAAGAACTGCACAAAATATGGAATACTCCATAAATTTGTGTATCACCCTTGCATAGGGGCCATGTTAATCTGCTCTGCATTGTTCCAATTTTAGCATACGTGCTGCGGAAGCAAGTACTAAAGCAAATTTTGAAACAGCAGCAGAACACACACAGGGATCATGGAAATCGGCCTAACTTCTGTCTGGTTCTAACTACTTTGGGGTGGGGGCTGGGGAGTTCTTTGTGGCTGCCAGACAGAAGATTGTTTGAACTTGGCTGGTGAAGGGAGCCAACAGAGTGAACTTGAAGAGAAAGATAAACATACAAGTGCTCAAAGCTTCAGGTGTTATGATTGCTAATTGAGACGGTCTCTAAATGATACCTTCCAGGGTGGAAGAATTTCTCTCCCAGGGATTAGTGACTCAGGGTAACTGTGGGCCTGTATTCCTTCAGACTGGTCCTCTTAAAGAAAGCCAGAAGATGACTCTAGCATCTAAGTCAGTCAGTAGCAGATGTTTCAGAGTAACCCCAGGGAGCAAAGGCACCTTTAATCTGAACCCCTAAGGGTGGAACATGCACACGCCTGCAGCATAGTCAGACATGTACACACTCTCAGACCTGCAGCCATGCACACAGCCCAGACACACAGTCTTACACACACACACTTAATCTCAGGAATAGCCATGGGCAAAAAACACACCCCAGCTCACTAACACTTCCACCTTCACATGCATACATACGTCTCCTTCACAGACACAAATGTTCCTGCTTGTTCTCTCTCTCTCTCTCTCTCTCTCTCTCTCTCTCTCTC